TTTGATTTGTTTTCGGTTCATGTACAAAAATATCCTAAAAGGATGTAGTACCTGGCATGGCATCTAAGGGCTTTAAATTAACTTTTTTGTTTAGTAACACTGCCAAAATAATATGGCACCACCTCTCACAGCCCACCCCAAAAGGAAATTTAGTAGCACAAGTAACTTTTTTAGTAGTAACACATATTCCCCCATCATTCTCACCTCTAACATAAGTATATTACAGAATTTTTCTTCATTTTGAACAGAAAATCTACAGAAAAATAGGCCCACAGAATCGTAAACACTGTGTATACATTGGTTGCATATTGAAACATAGGCCCAGGCCTTTGGGCGATATTTGTAAGATGCATGGATGGAATTTTGTAATTATGAAGTAAGTTTTGCCTGAAGATATCAACCAGGAGTGAGATCAAATGACCTTGTCGCAATGACAGCAAACAAGTTGAATTCCTTGTCACACCTAAAAAAAATCAGGTCACTAACAGTAGAACCCCTATTAAGGACCTTCAGGACCAAAAAAGTGTCCCCTTAATAGGGGTGTCCCTGAATAGGGGTACCCCTATTAAGGGGACACTAACCAAAAATGTGAAATTGTCCCTTTAATAGGGTTTTTGGCATGTTTTCATACAATGACATTGATTCTTCATAATTTAATTTTGATTGACCTAAGAAGGAGTTAAAGTTGAATAATAAATAATGTATAAAAATAATTTGTAATGGAAAAATGATTCATTAATGAAATCAACGTAAGTGCAATTAAAACAAAAGTTGTATATGCTTGTGATATTGTTTCATGATTCGAGTGCATTATTAATGATATGATTGTGTGCAATAAATGGGCCATGTGCACGCAGTACACGCTTCTGAAAAGAGTAGGGAATCGCCTCCCACTGTAATGCTCAATTTATCACCACAAAAAAACAAGTCTTTCTTATCTTTGGTGTGATTCATACCAAAAAAATACCCCTATTCATTTGGATCAGTTGACTTGTTTTTGTAATATCTGGTCTAGGATGTTTTCAATTGAATAGTCCTCATATCCACACCCTACCCCTACTCCGGATTGTCACAAAAATTTAATCATTTCTTTACTTGACCATGACAAACTATTATAGAAAGTTTCATTTAGACTCATTTAAAATTTTTTTAGAGATATTTAGGTTAGGGATGTGACTTCACGCATTTATTCAACCAATAGAAAAAAAAATAGTAATCAACAATAACACAAATAATAATTAATAACTTCCATTTGATAATTAAATTTTACTACAGATTCTTTTGGTCAGAAATTTGAATGACCCTCCCATTTACACCCTAAACTGGATCGTCCCCAACACACGTTAGTTTCTTCCTTGTAACTTGGTTAAACTTTCCCAGAGGTTTTATTCAGGTCAACTGACCTGTTTTTGAAATATCTGGTGTAGACTGTTTGCCCTTAAATCACTTTAATTGGCCCTCACATTAATACCCCAGTCTAGAATGACACCAAATATTGGGAGGCACATCCCTGATATGTGGTCTATGCTTCGGCAAAGCAAGGTAAAGTTCCAAGCATGGGAAGTGACAAAAGTGACAGCCAGAAAAATCCAGTGCAAGAAGATAGGGAAAAAGTATGCACGAAAAAAGAAAAAAAAAAATCAGTACAAAAACAATGGCATTTCCAGCTACTGCTGGGAAAAGCCAATTAATAATAAAACAATAGAACATATTGTTTTACCGCTTTTTCTCGGAATTTGACCAAAGCATATGTCATCAACTGACTATTGAAGGCATCCCTAATGATAACATGAAAATCACATCCATCACTTGGTACATGTTGAGGGCGCCAAATTTCAACCTGCAATAAATAAGAACAAGTGGTTAAATTAAAATCTTCTAAATATCTGATTCAATATTTTCCACAGCGTTCATGGTTTTCAACTTACTTTGGTGCCTTGCTCTGGGTTTGTTTTGTGATGCCATCCAACTGTCCGCAATTTGAGCCAAACAATTTCTTTTTCCATCTGTTTTCGATCTTCTTGAAGTTTGTTTGTTAGTATTTTTTGAGTGGACTTCTTCTTACTCTTGTACTTCTCTTCGTCAAACAATACCTATAATTTGGAAAAAAATTGTGATTTTTGGAAGCAACATTTGTACTCTCTCAATTGAGGGCCCCATAGCCGAGCACTCATAAGCTCTCAGGCTCAAGAACCGAAACCTCATGCATAAATGTAATACTGCCAAGCAAAAAAATTGTGTAGGCCCAGCTATGCACCAGATTTCCCTCTTTGTTTATATCTAAACACTTTTCATTGCTATCCAGAGAGGAGCTTAGCTCAGTCGGCTAATCTGGTGGTAGCCACTGTGTGTGTGCTGAACCGTGGAGATACCTAGGTCCCCGGTTCAATTCCCATCACTGCCTCTCCTTGTGTTTCAGCTGGAGGGCTGAGATAGTTACAATAGCGCACTGTCTTTCGGATGAGACCTTTAAGCCGTTGGTCCCTTGTATGTTTATGGCCCATGTGCACGTTAAAGAATGCAGTACACTCTTCGGAAAAGAGTAGGGGATTGTCTTCCGGTGTACTGCCCAATCACCACCAGAAGGACCCCACTGGAAATAAGTCTTCTTCTAGACTTTCGTGGGCTATCCTTGGTGTTTTCACCGAATAAATCCAATCCAATTCAATCTTCTTATTTGAACTACTGCACTAAGCATTGCTTTACCGAGCACAATTGGATAGATAAAGAACATACAAGATGCCACTGTGCATGGAATCTCACTATTATAGGCTCACTAACAGGCTAAACATATATATTCCCAAGAAAAAATGCATGCCTTCGCAAGAAATTTCCGGCGGAACGTGTCTTTAGACCCTCCCTCCCGCCCCAGGTAGGGGGCATTTCAACAAAATCTTGTGCCTACAAATTTGTCAAACTTGGAATCAGTTGGGAAAATGGTTATTCCCAACTTATGACACCTAAAATCC